TATTGCAGAAGCAAAGAGAAAATCCTTTGTAGTAGGAAAAATCAAGGGAATGGGGAGGCTGAGAAAGAGTAGTTAGGTGAAGCAGGCTGGAAAATGAGAACAATCAACCATCAAGCTAGCTGAGATCATATCTGGACTTGGCCACTCACTTTCTGTGGGGCTTCAGGGAGTACCAACTTCTGTGTCTCCATTCCCTCATCTATAAATGGGAATGATTCTGGTGCTTACCAGAAAAAGACTGAAAGAGTGAATACATGTTATATATTTCTAATACTTCTTAGTCCATGGTACATAGTATACAAATATTTACTATTATTACTGTTATTATTTTGAGGTATAAGATAAATTGTAGGGCTGGGAAGGTGGCTCAGTGGTAGAGTGCTTGCCCTGCATACATGAGACCCTGGGTTCGATTCCTCAGCACCACATAAGCAGAAAAAGCCAGAAGTGGCGCTGTGGCTCAAGTGATAGAGCACTAGCCTTGAGCTGAAGAGCTGAGGGACAGCACCCAGGCCCAGAGTTCAAGCCCCATGACTGACAAAAAAATTAAAAATATAATATATATATATAAAACTGTCAAAGAGGAAAAGCTTGAAGGTTGGAAGAGTGGACAAATAGCAACATTTGAGACAGCAATGAAACAAGAAATATTGGAACAGGTACCTTTATTAACTAGAACAACATGAGCTCAAAGTTGATGATTAGATTGGCATTTCATAGAGATCGTTCTGGTAGTTGTATAGAAGATTAATCCAATGGGCAAGACAAAGATAGGTTATGCAGCTGTGACTGCAGCCCAGGGAAGAGATGAAATTTGAAGTAAAGCAGTGAAAGACGATTCTATAAATTCAAGAAAACATTTAAGAGACAAAAAGTGATAGAACTTAGTGACTGAGTAGATGTGAAAAGGGAAAGCTTACAGCTTTTGTGATAGTGCCAGCAAAGTAAGACTGGACTCAGAGGTAAGAACAGGTTGGCAGATAGAGGGGAGATAAGGATCATGAGTTTAAGGCTAGTCTGGGTTGCACAGCAAAATCCTGTCTAAAAATAAATAAATAAATAAACTCAATAAGTAAACTCAAATAGCTCAGAAGAAAGCTTTGAGCAAATTTGGGAGAAATTAACATACAAGTGACAGCTGATGCCCTGGATGTGAATATATACACTCAGGAAGACTTGGAAGGGGAAAGAACCAAAGAAATAACAGTTAAAAGACAAACTGACAAGCCCTTAGGAAGAAAAATCCAGAATTAAAGAAAAGAAAGTCAACCGCTGCCTGGATCCATGCATACTACATAAATTCACAAATATCTGAGCAGTTGGTTCTTTCACTAGCTTTGGAATCTCCTAATTTCCAGTATGAAGTTTCACCACTGGACTGTGAAATCCTTGAGAGAAAAGCATTATGAGCCTTCTTTGATTTCTACCACTAATGCTGATAAATATATGCTCATAAAATAAACCTGACTGAACAGAGAAAATTGAAATTTTTTCTCCAACTATAAAGGCTCACAGATGTTTTAAAGCCATGGGTTGCCTCCAAAAAGACCACAGTAATACAGAGTCTGAGGAGAGCTGAAGCAAAAGGGATAATGCAACCTTTCAGAGAACCATTAGGCAGTTCCTCAAAATGTACGTAAAAACAGAATTACCATGAGATCCAGCAATCTAACAAGTGTATAACCAAGGGAAGTGAAAACCATGTTCCCACAAAACTTGTGACACGGTAGCCTTATTCATAAGAGCCAGAGTTAGAAATAACCTAAATGTCCATCAACTGATGAAGGGATAAAGTTGGCCTATAGTACATACAATAGAACACTTAACAATAAAAAAAGATAAATACTGACACATGCCACAATATAGATGAATCTGAATAACATTTTGCTAAATAAAAGTAGCAGATACCAAAGACTATATTGCATGATTTCATAGAGATAGAAAGTAAATTAGTGCTTGCCGAAAGCTGGGGAAGACTAGAGAGTAGTTGTTAGAGGACTCAAGGTTCTTTTGGGGAAGATAAAAATGTTATGGAATGACATAATGATGATAGTCATACAACACTGCAAATATACAAATGCACTACATTGTACAACTTTTTTTTTTTTTTTTGGTCCAGTCGTGGGGCCTGAACTTTGGGCCTGGGCGCTATCCCCCAGCTCTTCAGCTCAAGGCTAGTGCTCTACCACTTGAACCACAGCACCACTTCCGGCTTTTTTCTTTTTGCTTATGTGGTGCTGAGGAATCGAACTCAGGGCCTCAGGCATGCAAGGCAAGAGCTCTACCACTGAGCCAACTTCCCAGCCCTACATTTTACCACTTTAAAGGATGAATTTTATGGGAAGGTGCACAAACAAGTAAGGGAAGACTCCAGGTTGTAACCTAGATTTCTCTAGCTCAAATGATTCCAACCCAATACCAACAAAGTACTTAACCGAGCAGAACAGTAAGAGTACACAATTTTAAACAATTTGTAATACAAGTTGATTACCTCAAATAGATCTAAATTCCTCATGCAGAAACGCGAGGTTCCAAATCCTTTCCCCTAGGGAAAAGAGTTCTCTTTTCATAAGGTGATAGGTATCCTACATTTTTTTCCTCTTTTTTTGGTCAGTCATGGGGCTTGAACTCTGGACCTGAGCACTGTCCCTCAGCTCTTCAGCTCAAGGCTAGCACTCTGCCACTTGAGCCACAGTGCCACTTCCAGTTTTTTGGTGGTTAATTGGAGATAAGAGTCTCACAGATTTTCCTGCCTGGTTGACTTTGAACTGTGATCCTCAGATCTCAGCCTCCTGAGTAGCTAGGATTACAGACATGAGCCACCACGCCCAGCTGGCATCCTACATTTCTAATTAAGGAAGACTAATCCTAGTGCTAAAAATCCCAGCCCAATAGCTGACTTTGCTGAAGCAAATCCTTGTGTGCTGGAGCACCTTCTTCCTCCAGGGCAGTAGGCAATGCTCTAATCCACTCTAGATCATGGGTCTTGGTTCTTGTTGCCTCGCAAAGCTGTGGCCCCCTTATAGGACCCAAGAGTGATACTGCAATGTTCATATCCTTCTAAGTTCACCTGAAAAGAAAGTTTGCTGCTAATACTGTACATTTGGTGTCCAGCCGGAAAGTAATCCTTTATCTATTGACATGCTCAAACACATTCTCAAATTTAAATAAAATTAGAAAGAATATGGAATATCCCAATCAAGAGTCTTGACTCCTTTTTCTTTGTACAAATCCTAAAGGCATTTCATTACCAATCCTGTGCATCCTAGCTCTTTTATCCACTTCAGTAATCTAATGCAAGCCACTATCTCTCACCCAGGTTACAACTGCTTCCTAGTTAGTCTTAAAATTCTTCTGTGACTTCCCAAATTCCTACAGGGATGAGCCTTGCCTACTTATGCAGGTCCATCTCTCACTCCTTAGTTCTTTGTACATCAACCATACTGACCTTTGTTTTAGTCAAGCCTTAAACACCTGCTCCAGGTAAATCAACTTTACCAAGTTCAGGGTTGATAATCCTCCAGACTCATCCTTACTGTATATTTCTCAAACTAGATTCCAGCTAGCAGGAGCTATGTCTGTAGTTTTTACTGATCAATTCTTAAGCCTACTAAGCAAAATCTGAATTGACTAATTAGAATTTCCACAAACATTTTCTTTTTTTTTTTGGGTCCAGTGGTGGGGCCTGAATTCTGGGCCTGAGTGCGGTCCCTCCGCTCTTCAGCTCAAGGCTAGCGCTCTACCACTTGAGCCACAGTGCCACTTCCGGCTTTTATCTTTTTGCTTATGTGGTGCTGAGGAATCGAACCCAGGGCTTTAGGCATGCAAGGCAAGCGCTCTACCACTAAGCCAACTTCCCAGTGTAAGGTCCGCTCCTGGATGGCAAGCAGACTCCACCCTCCGCGCAGCAAAGTCTCCACCCAGTACCTGCGTTACCTAGGCAACTGAGACACCTGGAAGAGGTCACATCTGAATTTGATGTGGCCACACCTTTCCCCGCCCATACCCTACATAAGGCCTAGCCCAGGCCCAGACTCTCTCTTTCTCTCTCTGTTCTTTTCTAGCTCTTGCTCTTGCTCTTCTTTTCTAGCTCTCTCTCTGCTCTAGCTCTTCCCTTTCTCTTTCCCAGCCACGTGGAGTGCCAACCTTGCCTGGTCCCAGCAGGTCTACTGGATAAACCTACCCCTTACCCGAATACCACGTGAGTGCTACTGTTCTTACCCCTCTCTCTGCTCTTTTCTAGCTCTTTCCTCTCTTTCCCAGCTCTCTCCTTCCCAGGCCTTTCCCAGCCACGTGGAGTGCCAACCTTGCCTGGTCCCAGCAGGTCTACTGAATAAACCTACCCCTTACCTGAATACCACGTGCGTGGTGCAGTTCTTACTCGGCTACCTCTTTTTAAAAACCTAACACCCAGCCCCACAAACATTTTCTTAATATAAAAGCTTTTGTTTTGGGTATTTTTTTTCCCTTGTTGGTACCAAGGTTTGAACTCAGAGTATCACGTATGCTCAGTTTGTTTGCTCAACTGTACTCTACCACTAACTACCAGCTAGGCTTTTTGCTGGTTATTTTGGAAATGGAATCTTGTGGATTTTTTTTTGCCCAGGTTGGCTTCAAACTATAATCCTTAGATCTCAGCCTCCTGAGTAGCTAAGACTACAGGCACAACCTATAGGTGTCCAGCAGTTTTTTGGGGTTTTTTTTGTTTGTTTGTTTGTTTCTGTCGGTCGTGGGGCTTGAACTCTGGGCCTGAGTGCTGTCCCTCAGCTCTTCAGCTCAAGGCTAGCGCTATACCATTTGAGCTACAGCACCACTTCCAGTTTTCTAGTGGTTTATTGGAGATAAGAGTCTCCCAGCGTGTCCAGCAGTTTTAAATTAAATCAAGTGTAGTAGTTCACATCTGTAATCCCAAAACTAGGGAAGCAGAGAATTCAAAACAAGGCTGAGCTACACAGTGAGACCTATCTTAAGGAGAAAAATAAATAAATAAAAGAAGGTTATTACTTTGGTAGCACATATACTCAAATTGGAACAAAACAGAGAAAATTAGCATGTCTTCTGTGCACGGATAACATGCAAATTAGCCAAGTGTTCAATCTTTTTAAAAAGGAGGAAGAGGAAGAAGAGAAAGAAGAAGCTGGGTGCTGGTGGCTTACGCCTGTAATCCTCAGAAGGCTGAGATCTGAGGATCACAGTTCAAAGCTAACCGGGGCAGGAAAGTCCGTGAGACTCATCTCCAATAAACCACTAGAAAACTGAAAGTGGCACTGTGGCTCAAATGGCAGAGCGCTAGCCTTGAGCTGAAGAGCTGAGGGATGGGGCCCAGGCCCCAGAGTTCAAACCCCAGGACTGACCAAAAAAAACTACTAACACAATGTAAATGGTGCTCTTAATGTGTTCCTAAAACTCATAACTGCCTTAAACGGAAAAGGTGCAAAAGACAAATATATATATATATATTATATGATAAAAACATATATAATACAAGTTTCAAACATTATAGAAAAAAAATAAAAAATTTTCCCTGCCTTGTAAAGAATGTTATATACACTGGATAAAAACTGTGCTCACGGGCTGGGAAGTTGGCTCAGTGGTAGAGCGCTTGCCTTGCATGCCTGAGGCCCTGGGTTCGATTCCTCAGCACCACATAAACAAAAAGAAAAAAGCCGGAAGTGGTACTGTGGCTCAAGTGGTAGAGTGCTAGCCTTGAGCTGAAGAGCTGAGGGACAGCACTCAGGCCCAGAGTTCAGGCCCCACGACTGGACCCAAAAAAACAAAACAAAAAAAACAAAAACAAAAAAACTGTGCTCAGGCCAAATAGCTCATCAAGGTTACTGTGAAATACTTCAAATTACACAAGGACTGAGGACTACGGAGTATGGGAAGAAAATGATCCAAGCAGACTAATGGAAGGTACAAATAAAGCCTGACACATGACTATCTAAGGAAGTAGATACTAAGGACGGAATAGATTAGTTCTGAAGTCATTAACCAAGCGTCAGTTTCTGAAGTATATTCAAAATGCAACATAAATACTAAGTATAAATTACAGGAACTTATCATTAAAGACAACTAAAATAACTGCCTTTGCCTAGTTTTATGAATCTCTAGCACATTCCAGATTTAGTTTCTGTATTCTGGATTTTACACCAACAATTCAAATCCTTATCATGTGTCTGCTGCCTATGCTAACAGAATAAAGCAACTCAGAATTTTCATTTCATTTCTAGGACGTGACCACTCTTTTCAGTCTGCTCCTGTTTTAAGTCAGCAACTTTAATCTAGTGATCAAAGCTTCATTAGCTTGTAAACAAACTGTTCCTCATGTAAACTGAGCTGCCTCACACAAGGATCTTAAGCAAATAAATAAGTACAAAACAGGCAGAGATTATAAATTAAGGCAGACAAATCTGTATCTAGCCCCACGCCAGTAAAGAGCATTCTATCAATATAGTGAAATGCTAATCTCCTAATTAACAACCTAATTAGGTAATTATGGCTTTGCAGAGGGATGCCGAAATGAAATATGACAACATGGTCACCTCTTTATATGGCACCTGTGGGCCTTTTCAGCTGTCATTGCAAAGAGTGCAATATCAATTTGAACAGATGACAAAGTGCTGTCATTTTTCATTCTGATAATGTACAGAATGCTTTGGACAGAAGCAGTTTACAAAAGAAACAACTTGCCTGATATTTTCCTTATTTAAATATGCTCAAATACTTGTGTGTTTTTTTTGCATTGTTTTTATACCATCTATAGGAGAATTATATGCACTGTTTAAAATCCTAACAGGCCATAATGTCTAATGGACATATAAAATTATTTCAATAATGAAATATATAATAATTACAAAAAAGAGTAAGATAATCTTTTTCTGGAGGGGAAGGTTGATACCGGCATATTCAAAGCCTCTCACTTACTAGACAGACACTCTACTACTTGAGCTATAACCCTGGCCCTTTTTGCTGTTATTTTCAAATTAGATCTTGCATTTTTTTTTCCCAGGTGGGTCTAGACTAAAATCATCCTGTTTAAGCTTCTGGCATAGTTTGGATGACAGGCATGCACACCATGCCAACTTATTGGGGGACCTTTTTACCCAAGTTGGCCTCAAACCATCTCTACCTCTCAAGTAACTGGGATTACAGGAAATGAGCCACCAGGCCCATTCCCTAATCAAGGTATTTTAATATTCATACTTTTTACTGACTCTTGTTACCAGAAAAAAAAATTAAAAGCTAACACAAACTTTCATCTTCAATTTTTTTTCTACAAATCAAAAAACCTAGAAATTCACACCTGGGAAAGTAATTAAAATGAAGGCCAGATCTGAAGAATTCGTGAGCAGACAAAGTCAGTTAGGCCTCATAAGTAACCTTAATTTTACTTAGCTTAAAAACATAAGCAAAACTTGCTGGGTGTTGAAGGATCATACCTGTAATCTTAGCTACTCAGGAGGCTGAGATCTGAGAACAGCAGTCCAAAGCCAGCCCAGACAGACAAATCCAAGAGACTCTTATCACCAATTAACCAGCAAACACCAGACTTGAAGGTATGACTGTTTTCTGTGAGCAGAAAAAAAAAAAGCTGAGCAAGAATGTGAGGCACTGAATTCAAGCCCCAGTAATGGCACTCCCCCTCACCCTGACAAAAAAAAAAGAGGCAATTAAATTTATCTATTTCTTATATATGTCCATATTAAAAGGCAAACAACTTATGCTCAACAAGGTAGAAATAGCCAACCGGCTTATAATTCTGTAACTAAGGAATTCTTGGGACAGATCAAATGAGGCAACTGTCCAGAGGTCACCAAGTATGTTCACTGCTTTACTTCCATGTTCTTCCTATAAAACTCTCTTAACCAGGTACCAGGGCCTAGAATCTGAGTAACACAGAAGGGTGAGATCCAGATCTTAATTCAAGGCCAGCCAAGGCAGAAAGTTTGCTAGATTCCATCTCTAAAATACCAGCAAAGAGCATACCTGGAAGCATGGTTCAAGTAGTAGAGTAAGAAACTAGTAAGCCTGAAAGCCCTGAAACCCCAGTACCAAAAAAAAAACAAAAACAAAAAAAAACCACTTTTGTGTTAAATAAGAAAGCACTTGAACCACTTGGCTGGTTTGAAGCTATACAATTCATGATCACTACTTCCTCAAATACTTTAAAATTGTGTTATGCCTCAGCTGAACCTTTTTTAACACAAATGATTTTCTATATAATAAAAGCACACATCACTATGTAAGGATTGAACTCACAACTGCTAGATGTCAGTGGCAAACCTTATGTTTATGGAGGTAGGAATGTAATCTCTGGGAAAATAAAGACCAAGGTGGTAGCTCATACCTGTAAACATAGCCATTTAGGAGGCTGAGATCTGAGATTGCAATTTCAAGCTAGCTGTGCAGGAGACTCTTATCTCCAATTAACCACCAAAAACCTGGAAGTGGAACTGTGGCTCAAAGTGCTAAAATGTTAGCCTTGAGGAAAACACACACACACACACACACACACACACTCAGGAATAGCTGTCAGACCCTGAGTTCAAGCCCCAGCATCAACAAAAAAAAATAAAGACCAACGTGTTCCAAGCCCCACTGAACACAAAGTCCCACTGAAGAGTAAAGAGGTAAGGTAGCACTACAACGCTGGTACCCTAATACAAACAGGCCTCTTCTATATGCTCTTGCTTTTGCTTGTGGAGGATTGGAGATTTTGATGTTGTTTGAGGTTTCTTTATTGTTTTACTCCATTTAACCTGTTTAGACACAGGGTCTCCCAGTGTAGCCAAAGCTGGCTTAAAACTTGTGATCTCTCTGCCTTGGCCTCTGAGTGCTGGGACTGCAGGCATATGGCACCATTTTTTTTTTCTTTTATGGCAGGGGAAACAAGTGAGATTTACCTGGGAATTTTTAACATCTATCATTTATAGCAAAAACACATGAAGCCATATTCTAAGTGCAAAATAACTGAGATGAAAACACAAACTCTGTTAGTTGGAATGATGATTACTGGCTCTACTCATATTTGTTAATGTCAAGTGTAAAACTAAAAAGAGGGGGCTGGGAAGGTGGCTCAGTGGTAGACCACTTGCCTTGCATGCTCGAGGCCCTGGATTTGTTTGATTCCTCAGCACCACAAAAGAAAAAAGCCGGAAGTGACGCTGTGGCTCAAGTGGTAGAGTGCTAGCCTTGAGCTGAAGAGCTGAGGGACAGCACGCAGGCCCAGAGTTCAGGCCCCACGACCAGACCCAAAAAAAAAAAAAAAAACTAAAAAGAGGGCCTGGGAATGTGGCTTAGAGTTGCTTGCCTAACATGCATGAAGCCCTGGGTTCGATTCCTCAGTACCATATAAACAGAAAATGCTGGAAGTGGCGCTATAGCTCAAGTGGTAGAGTGCTAGAGTTGAACAAATGAAGCTCAGGGACAGTGCCCAGGCCCTGAGTTCCAGTTCTACGACTGGCAAAAAAAAAAAAAAAAAAACACCTAAAAAGACTTTTTACAGGGCAGGGGATGTAACTCAGTAGCAAAGTGCTTGCTTAGCATGTGTAAGGTCCTGGTTTCAATCCCCAGCACCAAAAAAGTAAAATAAGAAAGTAATAATAACTTTTTTCAGAAACTATTTCTAAAACAGAGAAAAGAAAAAGACCTATAACCTTCCCATCTACTTTTTCTTTGCATAGATTTGACATAATTATAATCATACTTTATATTGTTGTACATTCTCTGTATATATACCACTTAGAATAAATACAGATTATCATGTCATTAAAATTCTCCTAAAATACTAAAATGAGTATGCAATATTCTGTTCGGTGGCATTTCCATAATTTCTCTAACCTTTATCAATACTAAAGCTGTTTCTAACTTTGCTACTAGAAGCACTGCCTAGTGAACATCTTTGGACACAAACATTTTTCTACATCTATGATTATTTTTTTAATGAAGATTCCTAAAAGTGAAATGCTCAAAGGCATCATGACTCCTTTTAAGAGCTTGTGATAAATATTGCCAAAGTGCTTTTTAAAAAAACTTTCATCAATTTGTAATCCACTAACAATAAAGGAGTGACCCTCTCAATACCAGTCTTTGCCAGCAATTAA